CGTCCCCCCCGCCGACGTGGCCGGAGGCAGCTGGGGCAGCTCAGCCCTTTGCGACAGCGAGGGCAGGGACGGCTGCGGGGGGCTCCGCCATCCCCGCCTCGCCGCAGCCGCCGGGGCCGCCGGCCGAGCCCGGGGACCCGGGAGGCCCCGTGAGCCGCCTGCGCGGAGCAGAGCCTGCCCGGGCCTCGCAGCCAAGAGCCGGCGCAGAGCAGGCGCCGAGCAGAGGGATCCAGCCCTGGCCCCCGGCCCTGCCAGCCAGCGGGGACGCCCTGCCCGGTGCTCTGCCCGCGAGGGACCCTCGGGGGACGCGGTGCCCGTGGTGCCCCAGGGCATCCCCGGTGGGACCGCAGGACCAGCGGGCACTGCCGAACCACTGTGCCAGCACCGCGGCAGGTGTGAGCGGGCCCTGCTCTGCCCCAGGTCACCTCCCTGCCGAGCCTCCCCGGCAGCTCCGGCTGAAGCCTGTGGTGAGGTTCGAGGTGTGCGCGGTGCCGGAGCCGGTGCTGGGCAGCGCTGGACTCGCTTCCCCGTGCTCCCCGGAGAGCCCGGGCTGTGCAGGCAGCGCCCGGGCTGCCGCTGCGGGGAAGGAGCCAAGCACCACAAGGACAGAGGCACAGGCAGGGGCCGGCAGCCCAGTGGGGTCCGGGTCGGGGTGCCCAGGGGCCATAGTCCCACCGAGGGGAAGGTCTCTGGGTCCTGCCTCTCCCTCCACCCCAAGCGGGTTCCTCCAAAAAGCTGCGGCGCCGCTGCTGGCGCTGCCACCAGCCTCCCATGAGCTCATTTTCCACCCCAAAAGGACTTTCCCGGCCTGACTTTTACTTCTTTTCTTGGGATTTTCTACAGCCTCCAGCTGCAGGGCTGGGCCGAGGGGATGGGAGGGAGCAGGCTGGGCTCGGGCCACCGGCACCCTTTGGTGGCCACTCTGTGTTCACCCAGCTCGTGCCCAGCTGGAGCGGGCAGGGGAGCAGAGCTGGCAGCTCCAGGCACTGGTCCCATCCCTGTCCCCGTCCCTGTCCCCTCACCAGGTCCCTGTGGGGCTGTCCCAGAGCCCCCTGCAGCCCGTGGCACTTGCAGCCTGCCCAGGATCCCGATGCCCAGGGGCTGCGGAGGCAGCGCGGGGCTCAGGGCGGTGCAGGAGGCTGCGTGCAGGATGCTCCGGCGGGACGGGGTCCCCTGGCCCTGCAACCCCCAGGGATGCTCCCGTCGCATGGAGCCCTTTGGCCCTGTATCAGCCCGGGATGCTCCTGTGGGACGGGGTGCTCCGTCCCAGCGGTGCCTGGGTGCGATCCTTCCCCATCCCTGGCCGGGAGCGGGGGACGGCTGGGACCAGGCTGGCGCTGGCACGGGGCCCAGACGTCTGGCATGCAGGATGATGCTTTGTTTCGTGCCGGTCTCTGGGGGCTGGATGGTGGGAAGGGTTTTGCTATGAGCTGAGGCATCTCCCGCATCCTGCCGAGGGCTCTGGAAAGGGCCCAGGAGGGGAGGCCGCCCTTGCTGGCGTGACTCAGCCCCCATGTGATGGGACTTTCTAGGTTTGCCGAAGACCTGGCACCTCTCCGCACCCTCCCAGCCGGGGTGCTGGGCTCAGCGCCCGGCTCCGGGGCAGGAGAGGTCAGTTGGGCTGGCCCTGCTCCCAGCTCCCTGGGGCCAAGGCACACAGCTCCGGCGCTCCGATTCAGCCCCACTCAGCACTTCCAGGGCTGTTATGAATTTCCCCATGCAGCTTGGCTCCGAGTCAAGCCGGCCGCGTCCGCACTGCCGGCGGCTGCCAGCTCCCGCTGCGGGAGGTGCCTTAAAGGCGCCGGAGCCTGTCCCGGCAGGGATGCTGCCGGATGGCTGCCGCAGCCCCCCCGGCACCCCGCAGCCGGAGCAGGGGTGGCAGCAGGGCCAAACCCACCAACTCGGCGTTGGAGCTGATGGCACCACTGGTGCTGGTGCTCCTGGGGAAGTCTGCTGCGCTCCACAGGTGTGGAGAAGCCCTCCGGGATCCCTAGTGCCGGGGTGTCCCAAAAGGGGGGTTCTCCCTCGGGGTGCAACGGCTGAGCCCCGTGTTCCCGTGCTGGGTCCCGCAGTGCCCTGCCCCCGGGGATGCTGGTGCCCTGCACCCGGTGCCGGTGCTGCCGCCTGCCTGGCTCGCTGCCCTGAGCTGCCCCGGCACGGGAACCGCAGGCGGCAGCCGAGGTCAGGGCTGCCAGCCAAGGCAAACGCTTTGGCAGCCGCTGGGCCGGCCACGGGGCTTGTGCCCAAACCGCCCGGCAGTGCCACATCCACCCGGCGGTGCCTGGGCTAAGCCCTCGGGTCCCCGGGCTGGGCGAGGGGTCCCCGGGCCAGCCTGGCCCTGTCTCTCCTCGTCCCTGTCCTGTGAGCGCCCCATCGCGCAGCGGGGGGACATGGGACAGAGCCCTCCTGCGTCCCCGCGCTGGCAGGGACGGAGGCGGGGGCTGTGGGGGGTCACTGGGGGACGAGGGGCTCGAGGCGCTTTGCAAGGGCTTCCCCTGCTCGGGGCCGTCCCCGGCCACTGCTGCCCTGTGCCACGTGCCAGAGACACCTGCCCACGTGTCCCGCGGCAGAGCCCCCTGCCCACGGCTGCTCTGCAGAACCTCGGCACGGCGGCAAGAGGGGCCGGCAGCCGCCCCGGGTCCAGCCCTGGGCCCTGCCATGGCCCCCTGTCCCCAGGGAAGCCATGGGGATGTCCCCTCCGGGGGCATGGCGTCACCCCAGAAGCCCCAGCTGTGACATCGCCCCCCTCGCTGCCCCAGCCAGGACCTGACCGTGCCAGGCTGGGGGACACCGCCGGCCACAGGGTCGGGCCCGGGACCCCGGCAGGAGCAGAGCTGCGTGTGTATTAGCCCGGGCAGGGGCTGGGGGTGCCGGGGGGGTCTCAGGTGCTGGGCACCCTCTGGGAGCACCCCTGGAGGGCCTCCCAGCTGCAGCGCGGGCGATGCTCCACAGCTTGGTGTCTCTGCAGGACGGTCGGGGGTCCCGGGGCTGCGCAGGGACGATGGAGCTGCACGGCAAGAACCAGCGGCTCCTGGAGGCGGTGGCCTGCATCATCCTGGCCTGCTGCCTCTGCCCGGCAAGCCTCTTCTTCTGCCTGCTCCTGCTCCTGCCCTTCATCCTCCTCTTTGAAGAGCCCATCGGAGGATGAGGATGGCCCCGGATCTTGCTCGTGCTGTTCAATGAGCAGCCCTGCCCTCACCAGCGCAGTGTCTTTGCTGGGCGCAGGTGGAAGGGTGGGTGTGGGCACCCGGCCCCGGCAGCAGCTCCGTGCCCCCCCTGCTCCTCCCTGCAGCCCATCCTGCTCCCCTGCCCGCGGTGCCGGTCCCCTCGCCCCGCAGCACAGCACCGATGGCAGGGAGCAGGTCCATCCCCAGCCCTGCAGCACGGCACCGATGGCAGGGAGCAGGTCCATCCCCAGCCCTGCAGTGTGGCACCGATGGCAGGGAGCAGGTCCATCCCCAGCCTCGCATGCTCCCGGCAGCATCCCCTGCCCAAAACAGGCACCCTGCCCGCAGGCGAAAGGACCCGGGACCACCTCCTCCACCTCTGTGGTGCCAGGGACAGGACCCGGTGCTGATGGGGTCCTGCCTGGGGACGGTCTCAGCAGGGCCGGCTCCAGAATTGGTCCCTCCAACCTCCCTGGGCTCCGCCCGGCCCCATCCTGCTCCCCACGGGCAGCTGCAGTGGGCGATCCCCCCAAAAGCCGCTGTTGCACGGGGTGGGGGCCATGGGGGTAAGTCAGGGGAGCGGTGGGGTCCTGCCCAGGGACGTGCTGGGGGGCCAGGCAGCCCCCCTGGCGCAGGGGTGGCCCTGTGCCCGGCCTCTGCCCCTCGCAGCCCCGGCGGTGCCACGGGAGAGGGCACAAGGCCCCGAGTGCTCTGCTCTGTGCGGGCTCTGCTTGGACCCCTGGGACCCTGCAATGGGACGGACCCAAAAAGGGAGCTGAGGGGACCAGTGGCAGGAGCAGGGGACATCCACGTGGCCTTGGTCACGTGCAGCCTCCGGGCACACACAGCCACCCGCCCCGGACACACGTACACCCCGTCCCGGACACCTGCACCCCTGGACACGCACGTCCCAGCCACGCAGAGCCGCTGGAGGAGCACACTGGGTGGACAGGGATGTGCACACCTGGTCTGGGACAAGCACAACTGCTGGACACACACACTTGGTGGCCCCAAAGACCCCCACCTGTTGGACACCCACAGCTGGTGGAGAAGGACATGCTCACCCATGGGCTCCCCACACCCCTGGGACATGGGGCGACACCAGGGCACACGCACAGCCGGAGCACAGGGACTCCAGGGATGTGCACACCCTCGTGCGATGCTTCCAGCTTTATTGATGGTGTTGCTAGCAGAGGACCTGGGGCCACGGTGGTGCTGCGGTGCAGAGGAGGTGGTGGCCAAGGGTCTCCGGGATGCTGGCTCTGCGGATGCCTGGTGCTGGGGTCAGCTCGGCAGCGGCGGCTGCGTGTCCCGTGCTGGGATCAGCTCCTCCCGTACCAGTGGTGTTGGCAACACAGCCCGTGGGGCCACCAGTACCCCATCCCCGGGGCTGGCGGGGGGCACTCTCCTGTG